ACTCTTTCAGGAAGACATTATATCGTTAGATGAAAAGGATGAGCTAGGAAAGAATAAAAGATCGGAATGTGTTGAACGCCTATTAGGAAAAATACTACGTAAAGGGGAGTCACATTGTGCTATCTTTGTGAAAATATTAAGAGACAGAGGCTACAGACAAATCTACGAAGTTTTAGTTAACACAGAATTAAAGGTTCAGCCTGCAGCACCTTCAGGTAAATAAAAATAATAAGAATAATCATTATTAATACTAAAAATTTAATTAAGCCTAACAGTTAATTTAAATTCAACAACACCAAATGAATATTGAAAAATAGAAGATAATTAGTAAATAAAAATTATTTTTGTGGCTGATTTTTTAGCTTCTTGGTTTGACAAGTTACCTTATGGTTTAAAAAAATAAAGTGGTCTCTGAAGTTGACGCCATCCGCCTGGGAACCATTTTTGGAAAAAAATGGAAAAGTGTCTTGTACAACTTAGGTTTCAGAGAAGCTAAAATAGCCAAGAATATCAATCTAATGGATCCAGCACACGAAGAACCCTTAGCAATATGCTAATTAAATGGAAGCAGCTTTATGGAAAAAATGCAAACTTTCAGTAATTCAATAAAAGTATTTGGAAAATCTGAAAAAAAAAATTGTTATGCCTATATAATAGATGAGATTTATAAGTATGTCGGTGCACGGGTTATATTTGATTTATTACAAGTTTTTTGCTACAACCTATAAATCTATAATCTGGTTGTGGGGCGAAGTGGTCGAATGGTAGAGCGTTTGACTGCTAGTTCGAAGGTCTAAAGTTCGGGTCTTGGATCAGACCTGCGACAGTAGGATGTTTCCCTCACTTACCTTTGGGAAAGTAAAGGCGGCTGGGCATATTGCTGACCGCATTATACCTTCATATGTCGAGGTCAAGAAACATATGAACTCTACTCCATCTGCCCAATGTATCGTTAAGTATAAACAGATTAACTTTACCCTACTATAATGAAAAAATATTATCAGAAAACTAAGCATATACGCTATTGAATAAATAAGTCTACAATATTTCAGGGCAAAAACCACACGACAAAAAATAAAACATATCTTTTATAGGAAGTTGGTGGGAAAGCTCAGCATAACCAAGAGCACATTAAGTCTGTCGAAAATCCTGCAATATTTACTAAATTAGATAAATGGCCCGTTAAGGGAGAAATACAACGGTTCTAGGTAGATAATGTTAATTTTTCTCTAAACCAAAACAAAAACCAAAATCCCCACCTCAACCTTAAATTTATGCTCTCACATAACGGAACTGCCAAACAATTAAACAAATAAGTCTGTATGAAATATCAAAATCTATGTACAAATAATTAGTAAACTCATTTTTAAAAATAAATTGAAACACGTGTATTTGCATCAGTAGCATGAAAGTTAGACAGTATGACGTGGCATTGTTATCATACTGGTAACTAGTCTGTAGATGCATGTCTAACTGACAACTGGTTTGTAAGATATCTAGCAAATCAATTTCACTCCGATTCGTATACAGCGATTCTGTTCCGGGTTTCTTCAGTTGCAAATACAATAACATGAAATGAATGTTCACGATTATTATGCTTGATGAGAGCCGATTACTCAGTCTTGAAAGGATCAGATAACTGTTGCAATTAGTTTGAATACCTATTGTTTTTAAAAGGCACTTAAATTTAGACGAATGGAGAGTCGACTTATACAATGACCCGAATTAAAAATAAAATTTAACTATGCTACTAATTGTTGTTAAACACTTTAATCAAATAACGTATATATCTAAAATTACAAAATCGTGGACAAACTTTTCGATTTACACCCCCTCAAGATTTCGATTTGCACCACCCCCCCCCTCAAACTTTCAATTTGAACCCCCCTCAAAGTTTAAATAATTTTTCCAACCCATTTTGGCGCCCCCTAAGGTCGGCGCCCGGGGACATATGTACTTCCCCCCCCCCCCACCCCCCTCGCTACGCTACGCTACTGCCTTCAATACACTTTTTAATAGACCGGTACTGATCTCCCCTAAACTTTCTCGAATATTCGTATATAACACTACAGGGGATGGCAACTCAAGTTATCCTGTTCACAGACACACATACTTACACACACACATACATACACACACACACACACATACACACAGACATACGGACAAGATTATAAAGCTATGTTTTTTCCGACTCAGGGAGGTGTAAAACGTCGAGATTTGCAAAAATATACTAATTTGTTTCTCTCTTAAAATCGTGGCAGAGCGTCGCTTTCGATCCACCCGCTCTGACAGTCTGCTATTTTACTGATCGGATAGCGACACAAGAACCCGTGATATTTATTTCTCTTTAATGCAGTGATCCATTAATCAATTAAAAGTATCTGATATCTCACGTTAAAGTTGAGAAAATCATAAGAATCGTACAAAGAACTAGTCGCTTAATTTCGCAACAAAAATGGGTATTGAAATCGTACATTAAGCGTTTATACAATTGGTTTCTTTTCTAAGTGTTAGGAGAATTATCTACTCACCGATAAAGTTCAAATCCTGCAGGTTTTATTGGTGAAAAAGCGCACCCCCCCTATCATTTTTGACAAAGTTGTTAGAGCGGATTTTAAACAAAGCCAGTACCGTATGTAAAATGAGAACATCAAAGTATAACATCCCATCACTTGGTTTATTGGTTTTAAAAATGTTGCTAAGTCCGATATTGAAATTAAGGTCAACATATCTATGTTCGCAAGGAGGAATAATTTTCAAACTACACAGATTAGCGCAAAAAACAAAAACCCACTTCTAAATTATAGTAAGTACGTCACTACACCCAAAATCAACCATGGTCATTTTCTTTTGCATCGTTTGATCTACAGTAATTACTCGAATATCGAACCTGAAAATTATAGTAGCATAGTAAAGATTGACCTGATATCAACATTAAATCTAACCCTAATCTCAAATAATTTTAATGTTAATTCTTGGGGTAATACAATATCTGCGGTTAGGGTTAAGCTTAGTTTTAAGGTAATTAAGAATGCACCAATGGACGCTGCATTCAGAAGTGATGTTAGTGTGCTTTACAATTGGCAATAAGCGATTACTAATTATTAGAAATAGTTTATTTATTTTCACAACCTTTTGAAAATCACAAATTTTAAAATATAAAAGAATTGTTAATTTATCTACATGATTTATTGGGAATTATTTTTGTGTATAGAGGGAGAGCAGTGAGATTTAGAATTAAAAAAAACAACAACAACCAATTACTTTCCTTTAATAAATAAAACAGAACAGTCAAGCAGACAATTGTCATTCCATTTTTTAACATATTGTATTTTAGTACGTGCTTATTTCACCTGAGCTGTCTTGTTAACGAATAAAACGTTTTTTGTTATATCTGAACGTTATCTATATAATTCAAGCGTGTAAAAATATGTATAGTTTAGTTATGGTAGCTGTCAACATACATCAGTAATGTTTGAGTTGTAAAGCACGGTGTTTAGTCTGGTGTTGTTTGATTGTGGGCTATTGATCGGGTTGTGGTTATTGGTAAAGTAGCTGAAAGGCTTGGCGCAGTGTGTGAAAATTTAGCAGCGTGAAACAGTTTCTGAATGATGTTTGAAATCAGATATGAATGTGCTGATAAATAATTTTTTTTAGATATGTCGTTTACGGTTAAAGATTTATTTATAAAATATTTGGAGAATTTTTTTTCGAATACTCAGAACTTAATCGGGTCGTTGATACATTTCAGTAAACGTTACAGTGCAAAGGCAAAAAAAGGAGATTAAAAACCATCCTCTCTCATCAACCACCCCCGATATACTACCTGATTATCACCTACTAAATGTGAGTACAGACCCCCCCCCCCCCCGCCCCCACAAAGTTAGAAATAATAAAAGCAATAAAGAGCATAAAAATTGACAAAGCAGCTGGCCCGGTCGGCATCCCACCAGAGGCACTTAAGCATACCAAGCCGTTGCAGCCAACATATTACATCCTTTACTTATGCAGATTTGGGAAGATGAGATAATCCCATGTGACTGAAAACTGGGCTAATTGATTAAACTGCCAAAGAAGGGAGACCCGACACTACGCAACAGCTGGAGAGGGATAAAGAGATAATGAGATAATGCTTCTTTTAGCCCCAAGCAAGGTGCAGACAAGATTCATCATAGAGAGACTTAGAGATGCCTTGGACAAAAAGCTGAGACAAGAACAAGCTGGTTTTCGTCGAGACAGGTCATGTACTGACCACATTGCCAAACAGTCTCTTGAGGGGTAATCCCCCCTATACATGACTTTTGTTGAATACGAAAGTGCGTTTTACAATGTGAATAGAGATGTTATCTGGAAGCTAATGAGCCAATATGGAATACCCAAAAATTCATATCAATCACACGCAAATGCAAATGCAAACGCAGACACAAGCTCAACGCAAACGCAAACACAAACGCAAATACAAACGAAAACAAATGCCTAAAATACAAAAGTAAACACAAACAAAAATGCAAACGCAAACAGCTACGCAAAGGCTCACGCTTTATCAAATGGCTTTATGAAACAAACGGCCGTGCATTCCAACAAAAATGCTCTAATGAATTTCAGCACAATTTGCATTCATTCACCAAACCCGCGACGTAATATGCACCACGCCGAACAACATGCTTTTCTAGGCGTCTCTAGTTTTAACCATCCCTTTAAAAACTTCAAATAACAAAACAAAAGAAATAGTGATTTTAATAGATCATAGAAATAAAACAAAACTCTGTACCGACTAAACAGGAAGTAAAATAAATAATCTTAACATTAAAGGATTCTAATTATGAGCCTAAACATAATCAATGCGGTAGGAATAAAAAAGAATGACTTAGTCAGCAATATTTCGCAATAGATTCTATAGCTATGACAGAAGTAAGGAAGGTTTATATTATACATAGCTAAAATGTTACCCATATAACTTCAATGTATAGAATAGTCATTGCGGATTTATCATTTATATTTGAGTTGTGCCTACAATTGTAAAATTTTAAAATCTTAATTATTTTTTTTCAATTTTAAGTAGTGGATTCGACAGTAATGGATACTAGTAATTAGCCTTACATTCTTGTTAATAGTTAATATTGTTGTAAGGCAAAGCTATCGTGTGTATAACAACTAATGAGTCAGTCATGCTAAAAGAGATCTAACTTATCGACATCTATGTAATCCAGATCAAATATGTTTTGGAGATAGAAATGCTTTCTATGAAATTACTTGATGTATTGCTATAATTTTAATAAAGTGTGAAGACATCATCTATAGGTTTATGACGCAGTCTTTTCAAAATTGGACATATAATCTTAAAATCTTATCACTGTGTTATGTTACAATGTTATACTGTTTAGTCGTTTTAATTACATAGTTTATAATACTTGTTTTTATAAACTTTAAGTGATTTACCAAAAAAAGACGTTCCTAAATCCACCCTACTCTCATGGGTGTCTGATAAATGTAAGGAAATCTAAAGCGGGTGTGTACAGTAGTGACTTTATTATCTCTCTTGATAACGAGGAAACTGCAATCGATGAATTCTACTTCATCTGCCCCATGTGTCTTGGCACAAACGGAAAAAAAAGTGAAGATGTATATTCGTTTTTAATATACAATAGGGCTATACTAACCAAATTAGTTCAAAAATCTGTTTTGAGTTGTGTAATAAATATGAAAAACAAATACAATGAGCTATGCAGACGTTAAACAATATAATATTAAAAGATATAGCATAGACAAATAATCCAGAAAAAAACAATAACCAGCTCAATTTTCAGCCTAACAACTTTTTCACTCTAACCCAATCTATGACGGTTTCGTGGTTTTCCAGTGCAGTTTCTAATATTTTCCGTACGTCATCTTTAGTTATCTGGCCTCTCTTTCTTCCAAACCAAATCGCTAGCAAGTCCCTCAGTGTGTCATTTTTTATTTGATTATTTTCTTTTAGTACATTAGAAATGTCTATGCTAGAAAATTCCAATTCAAGAAAAAAGCCTTGCCAATTATCTCCTAACATTGTAGCTAGTCTACATATTTCCTTTAGTTGTAAGTATTCCGTTTTAGCTATATCTGAAAAAAAAGTTCAAAATCTTTAATTTACAGGACAGAAACAGAGGCGTCGCGATGCGGGGGTGAGGATCGCACCGGGTGACCCCATTTAGGGGATGACACCAAGACAAAAAATTAAGATATATGAAATAAATTGTTTTTTTTTTGCCGATTAATTGTATGGTTGATTAGAGTTAAAAACTATATTACGTACATAACGACGATCCCCACAAAGGAGAGGGGGGGGGGGGTTATGTATAGGATATAAAAGAAGAAATCAGCTTATATTAGATAAATAAATAATAGATAAACGAAGCACTATTTATATGTAATAGGCAATAAATGATATACGGAAAACGACTGAGTAATGTACAACATATATGAAACATTACATATAATACATAACACATAAGTATTCATGATATACAATAAATAATACATAATACATAAGACTTAAGTTATAATACATAATGCATGATGTTCAATGCATAATTCATAATGAATAATACATATTGCATAATACATATTGCATACTTCATAATACGTAACACGTAATATGTAGCATGCAATACATACCACGTAATGCAAAATGGTCATCAATTTATGACGTCAAAAAATTAGGAATTTTATACCCATCCCATCCCATAAATAAGCGTCCCCTTTCGAAGTCCCATATGTGGACGTCTACAAAAAATTAGTAAACCCCTAAAACCATGCTGTAAAATTACTAATTCAATAACATGTAATGGGTACCTTGCTAATTTAATATAGGGATTCCATATTTAAATGATATCTTTACTAGGCTTGAAGATTAAAATAGAGCCTAGTAAGTATTTAAAAATAAGCATATTTTAAACGACTCAGTATAAATTAGGCACTGAATGTTAAGCGCTTGATATTTTTTTTTCTTCTTTCTTAATTTTAGTGTTGGAAGGGATCCCCTCCAACACAGTTAAGTATACATATCAACGGTTTGTGCGCCATTGAGGCCATTGACTCCGATTTCAGCCTGTTTTTCTTTTTGGATTTGTTTCCATAGCATTTTGTCCAGCCAAGAACAAACTACAAGGCAGCAGTTGTTTGATTTTGGAGTTGTCTCTCCTAGAAGAGTGGCTGCCCCCAGCTAACGAGCCTCATCTGCCCGAGAATTCGACCTCAAGACTTTTTGTTTAGCAACCCTGAGCTTTACCGACTCGACACCGCCGACCTTAATTTTTGCCATCTTAAACATAAATTGCATAGGTATTAAACATTTATTTTGTATTTGTTCTAGTAGGTGCCTTATAATTTTAAGTCTGGGAAATCTCTAAAAAAAGTAAATGTTAGACTTTTCTAAGTCTGAAAAAAAAACACATTAGTTTTCGTGCTGGCTTTTTTAAAAGTTTAAAAAATGATAGGAATTAAATTTTATAACTTTTCCATTATGTCCGTAAGTCTTCAGCGCTAAACATATTGTGTGAATGTGCTAAGACTATGTAAAATTGTTCTTTACGTATGCTGTGTACGTCCATATTTTACGCACTATTTTACCTACCTAAAGGTAGTCAGATGTTGAAGGCTCTCATAAAGTATTTTTTCTATTAAAGATAGTAGGTTAGTGGGGCTTTAGATCGAACTATTTAGTGTCTCTTGTTGCTGTCTAGCAATAATTGATTATATGGATTCGGGTTAAACTCGTCTAATCAACGTGACGCCATATTACTTAAACTGATCGCGATTCTGTAAAACGTGTTTTTTAAATTTATTACTTAAAATAAATTAAATAGATCTACATCCACTTAGGCTTCGACACACACAAAAATGATAGTCTACTATAATTTAGTTGAACGTTCTACCGGGGCCCAGGTCTAGATTTATATGCTTTTAAACTTAAGTTTCAATTCTTTAAAATGATTACAAGTAAACTTGAAATAACGTAAACAGTTTTAGAAAATTACCGCTCTCAATGTCCCAACCCCTCCCACTTTTAAAAAACTGTTGCTTTTTCAACAGGATAACTGCTGATTTGATGAACACATTTTTAATGCCGTTTTTTTTAATTAATTTTTTTTCCAGATGTAAGTATTTTTACGTCGTTATTAAACAGACCCCCATCCCTCGCCCCCCCTCCAATCCACACACGTTATTAAAATTAGACCTTTATGCCCCCCTCCCTCCACCCGTGTGGCCCCCATAAAATGGACGACCCCTAAAGCATAATACATAATACAAGTTCAGTAATACGTAATGCGCAATACATTAATACTTAACACATAACACGAAACACGTGACATGTAATACATAACACATCATGGGATAATGTTTATGCCATACGGGATATATCATATGGCATACGACATCTAGCATGTGACATACAACATATGGCATTTGACATATAGCATATGACATAAAATCTATGATCTATGATTTACCATGTGTTACACACTGTAAAAATATATCGTACATTCTCTTTGGTGTTTGTCCTATATTACGTGTTAATATATATATATATATATATATATATATATATATATTTTTTTTTTTTTTTTTTTTTTTTTTTTTTTTCTCACCTTTTGAAACCTTTTCGTCTTTTTCTGCTACCGCACCTCTATTGCTTGGTGCTGCCGGAAATGAAATAAACAAGTGTTTCTAATTTTAATATTCAAATGTATTTTATAAAACATCAGTAAATATAGTATTAACTTTTGTTTATGCTCAGTATACGATAAAAGTAAAATATATAGCGAAACTTCGACGTCAAATTAGTTTAGAATTGTGTCTAAAAACAAGCTTGTAATTACGCAAAAAAAAATCAACTGGAGAAGTATATTTTTAGAAGAAAAGTGGCAAAATAAACTAAGAACAAATTACTGTGTTGTAGACGATATTGTTATGGCATGAATGGAAAGGAAATAGTCTAATGGAAATCTCACCAAGATTAAAGCATTAAACTTAAAAAAGTGAATCTTAGCCATCGTGTATACCTATATTTTAGTTGCAATTTTAAAAAAAAAAGCAAAAATAAAAGCATAAATGCTAAACGCGAATATTAAATGCAACGTAATGCATTAATACATTCCTCAATTATTTATAAACATAATATCATTAAATTATTCTGCAATACTAAAATACTTAAATATTAAATGATATTTTGACAGTTTTCGCCGTTTTGAAGTTTTCTTTCAACTTTTGAGCAATTTCGGTTGCCGGAAGTGGTACTTAATTTACCCCCTGTTTTTTTTTTATCAGGCAATAACTGGAATACAGTTAATTAAGTAAAATGGACTAAATTTCACATACTGTACCCTCTGGCTTCTAGCAAATTTTGAGAGAATTACGGTAAACGTATATGCTACTTTAATCATTCTCTTCGTGAACACGATCATTTAAGCACTATTGGAATTACATAGACGAAATTTCGTTTATACGTATAAGATACCTGGATCATTTTAATTTTTGAATTACATCAGATAAGCGGATTTGCTACTTTAAAATATTTTTATTTTCTAAAATACCAATAATTTGAGGACATTTTCGGTTAAGTAGAAGACATTTCATACAAAGGTATAAGATAATTTTCTCTTGATTCTCTTAGATTTTAAGGGATTTCCTATGACGGAAATAGTACTTTACGCTATTTCGGATTTTTCAAAATACAATAATAATGTAATAATTTTATTTCACTTTTTTTAGGCGCAAGACTTTATTTTCTAGCGCAATATTAAATATTTTAAAAGTTTATAATGGAGCGGAAAGGAAATGCTTTATAGTGTGGTATCTCGCAACATTTTATAATTTTCAAAGAAAATTTTAATTATATTCTCATAAAGCATTTACTAAGACATTTTTATTTCAATGTGTTTCTTAATAAATTAACAGCTTTTTCACAAACTTCTATATTTCTATAGACAATATTCTTACCTGTGTTGTTCCCCTTTCTGTTATCAACGGGCACATATTCTTTTAATATTTTGACTATATTTTGATTTTTTGCATGCTCTAAAGCAGTTTTCCCTTCAAAATCTTTTGCATTAATTTTAGCCGAATGAGGTACTATCAATCTGACAGCGTCAGTTTTGCCATTCATAGCAGCTAACATCAAAGCTGTCTGTTGTTGAAGGTTGGTACAGTCCACATCCGCCTGGTTCCACAGCAATACTCTAATAACACCTGTGAACCCATTAGACGCTGCATGCATTAGTGCGGTCCAGCCATTGGCATCACGTCCGTTGATATTTGGTTTTCGTTTGAGAAAGTTTTCAACCACAAGGTGTTGTCCTTTTTGCGAAGCATTTATTAAGTCATTACAACTAATCGTAGATTGCATGTTGTAATTTTTTTTTAAGCCTTGTTCGTTAACTTATTAATATGTACTGTTATAATATATCCAATAACAAGTACATTATCCTTGCTTATGCTAAAATAAGAGTTGGACACTCATGACAGAATAAAAAAAAGAAATAGAATAAAAAAATTTCAGCTTTTTATATATATATGATAAGCATACCACTAAAATGTATACATCTATATATACATATATATATATATATATATATATATATATATATATATATATATATATATATATATATATATATATATATATATATATATGAAAGCATACCACAAAAAGCAGCAAACAGCAAGATAGACTGTTTATGAACTTGTATTATTTAATCAAAACCAAAACGAACTTAATGTACAGACACTTAAAATACCTATAAGCGTAGCTAGAACTGGTATATTTGCACGAATGCAATAAAGTAGAATTCTAACACGCTTTAAATCGCACCCTGAATTTATTAATAGCCTCAAAAGATAGTCAACCGAAAAAACTGCAGCTAGAGCTGTGAGAAGGTATGTTACCTTATCATACAAACTTGAATATATATATATATATATATATATACAATTAATTTTGCAAGGGTTTTTGTTTTACATTTTTATGATAAATAACATATTTTCGATTATTAGAATTTAATTCAAATCATTTTTTTCAAAATATGTCCTGACTAATCGATTTCTACTTTAGGCAGTAGAATCAATACTTGAATTGATCTCATTCAATCTATATGTTAGACCAAACGAAAGCTGAAATGCAAATATTATTTGTGTGTTGTGTTTTGTAATATAATTGCAGGTCTTGGGCTATTATGAATAGGTAGAGTAAAACAGACCGGATTTAAATTTGATAAGGCCCTATACTATTTCCGGAATATCGCCCTTTAAAATTACATATGTGTTTATGTCAGTGTCAAATATTAGCTGTTTTTTTTAGAAATGTATCCTACTTTTGTGGAACAAAAAACTAGGTCTCCTTTGTGATCTGAAAAAGAAGTAAGCAACATCTTTCTATATATACCAAATTAAAAGTATTTTTATGGGTTTGTTTGTCTTTTATGCATTACTACACCATTTAAATTTGGTCATGGTGGCGCCCCTGCAGGGCGCAATTTGATTCTTCTCTTTAAACGGTATATAAAAAATATAAGTCGATTGCGGTTGGGCATCGTTCACCCAAGTGCCATGAAACTTTGAAGAGTTGATAAAGAGTATTCTTATTAACTCTTCAAAGTTTCATGGCACTCTGGGAAAAAAAATAAAGTTTGTTATGTGCAGCGCACGGGAGGTTGCGATTTTTGTCAATACGTGGTTTAACGCCCTGAGTTCAGAGCGACTACCCTAGCACCTGGTATCCTTTAATTAGGCATCATGCGTAGCGAGTAATGGGTACTAATATATTCATCGGTAAAATTGCCTCTGCTTTTGCGTAACCCGAAGCGCCCCGGGCACCCTTTTGAGCACTAAAGCGCCTACGTTCTTTAAAAAAAAGCTATACACCAAAGACACGATGGGCAATAATATTCGTTGACTATTTTGAACCAGGCGCGTTCTCCGGCGCACTAGAAGGGAGCGATTTGGCTCCATGAGCACGGTAGGCTGTGTATACTATGGGTTGTTTTAGTCGTTAGCTAAATTTGAATCAGGCGCGTAGTGCGTCGCTCCGCATGGTTATTTTTTTGGCGACCAGAGCTTTATGTAATTGCCATGGCGCCTACGTTCGTTTTTAACAGTGCGATTGGCTATGTATAAGCTGAGGTACTATAGTTGTTTACTACCTTGATTCAAGAGTATTCGCTAGCAGCTCGACAGGTTGCGAATTAGCTCTCCGGGCTTTCCTGTGGAGCAAAAGCAATTTTTTCGCTACCTATTTTCCAATTTCGTATTTGTGAAAAATTAACATCCCTCTGACTTTGATGTCAATTCAAAAGCTTGTTAAATAGATTTAATATATTGAATAAAATTAATTGATATAAAATATGTTGATTGTTTACGGTAGGGGAGATAATTAAAAAAAACACCTCATTTTATATTATATTATTATTTGCTTCATTTTATTTAGTAACGTTTATTTAACTTGTCTGTTGCTTGCCGTCCGTCATCGATAAAAACTGCTGAGCGAAATTTTGACCGCTTCTAACCGACCTATTCGTTTCCAAACTTAAACATGGGTAAATGCAATCTGACACAAAATTTGACTATATTGGCAGCCTAATTAAGTTAAGTTACTATTTACCGCGCTATTATACGCGCATTTTTCATGTTCTTTGGGTGCGCTTTTGTTTTTAGTCAGGTAACTCTGTAGCATTAGAAAAATGAAAGTACTGAAAAAAATGCACGAAAGCTTTATTTAATTATGCTCTAAAATGGAGGAAATGCACGATTTAAAAATACAAATATATAATAATACACTACTATTTAAATAGAGATAGAAAGGCATGGCTCATTATATCATCTTTTGAATACCTTTACTGAAATTTAAGATGCTACCCACGTTTTCTTTACTGTTATTTTAATAGTAATGTAGTGTTGTATTTTTAAAGAAAGTCGTTTAGTTTAGTGCATAACTAGTCGTCCCGGTATGGATTTTATACAACCTTCGTAAACCAACTTGCAACATCACCAAATAGACACGAATCTAGAACAAGAAAAGACGAAAGCAGCTAGGTCAAAATAAACAACGGAAAAGTCAGCTTTCCTATGCAGAACTTAGAGGAATCGCCCATAACCGAGTACGTTTGAGAGGTGTGGTTGCGTGCATATGCTCCACAAGGAGTCCACATGAATGACGTTGATAATGATACATATGATTAACCATACACCCCACCACTGTACACAAATACATAAAGAACCGTGCCATTTGTGATTTTAAGCAGCATACACCCGGATTTACTCGGGTTTAGGAAAATATCACATTTCCAATTAGATATCGATATGCAAATATGGACGCATAGCACTTAACGTAACTCTAACTTTAAATTTAACTCTCGCCACAACCAACCACAAAGCTAAAACAAAAACACTAACGCAAACAGAAAAACAAAAATAAACAAAAACGAAAAAAACAAACCATAACCTTCACCTTCACCTTCACCATCACCTTTACCTTTATCTTTACCTAGATCTATCTAAAATTTAGATCTATTCTAGATTCTAAATGTAGAATCTAAACTCAACGTAAATTCTAAATCTAGATCTAGACTAAACGTAAATTCTAAATCTAGAACCTAGAATCCGCCCCCCCCCCACCCACGAAGAAAGTCTACCGCCCCCCCCCCCCCCCCGGAGAAAAAAATCTGGAAGAAACACTGACACCAACATAGGCTGAGCATAGGTCTGACAACATTACCCCTTCATATGCTGAAGTAACAGGTGAAATCTACACCTACCCATCTCAACTTCGCCTGCCCAGTGTCCCGTCAAGTCTCAGACAACATTTTTTTATTGTTTACAAAAAGATTCCGGCCGAGCAAGTCTCTGACCACACTATCCATTCAATGCCAAGAACCCAGAAACAGGTGAACTCTACTTCACCTGCCCCGTGTCCTGCCAAGTCCCGATAGACAACTTTATCATTCACATCTATAAAAAAAAATTACAAAAAAATAATAACTAATATTTACAAGATGTGTTTCAAACCCGTACCACACACAGGGTTAGCGATTACACTATCAACTCACCTATTTGGAAAGTTACAATTATAAGCAAATTTAGCGGTATAGAATCCTTTCTGTGAAACTTAAGTTACGCAAATACGCCCTAGATCGAGCACTTCAAATTTAATATTATCCCAAATTAGCCTATTATATAGCTAAACAAACAAAGATTTATATAAAGTAAAATATTAGGGCTTGAAATAGTTTAGTATATCTAGATAGAGCTAGATCTAGAATTTACGTTTAAGCCTAGAAGTAGAATTTACGTTAGGACTTTTTTTTTGGCAAAATTAGCGGTATAGAATCCGCGTATGAATCTTGTTACGTAAATAGGCCCTAGATCAAGAATTTCCAAATTAGCATATTCCATAAATAAACAAACAAAGATTTATATAAAATAATTAAGGCCTGAAATAGTTTAGTATATAGATTCTAGGTTCTAGATTTAGAATTTAAGTTTAGTCTAGATTCTAAATCTAGAATCTAGATTAGATCTAAATTTCAGATAGATCTAGATCTAGATCTAGAATTTCAATCTAGAACCGAGATAGATAAATCCTATGCATTTTCGAATAAGATGATCATTGAAGCTAAACAAACATTTATATAAAATAGTTAAGGCCTGAAATAGATTCTAGATGTAGAATTTACATTAAGTCTAGATATCTATGTAATATAGTGAGACTTGTGAAGTCAAGGGAACTCACTCTTCTGTATTAGTATTATATTTATATTGTTATCTTGAGTGATGTCCCTTACATGTTATGTATATAAGTGTCTCGTCACTTCCGCTCTCTCTCTCTCTTTCCTCATGGTGTGAATAAACTACTGTTAACAATCAATGTGGCTTCTCGTCAGTGATTCCAATCCATCACATTGGCGACGAGGATAAATAATCCACTAGAAAGAGCATATGCTTACTTAAAAAGGAGCTTGCTAGAGCATATTGGCTAAGTATTTCTAAAATAATGGCGCTGTATGGCCAAATAAAAGAATTTGATTCGAATGATGAAACCATTCATGATTATCTAGATAGGTTAAGCTTTTACCTTGAAGCTAACGACGTGATGATAGAAGCCAAAAAGAGAGCTGTTTTGTTAACAGTCATAGGGCCTCAACAATTTAGGCTACTAAAGGACTTATGCGCACCAGCTAGTCTAACTACCAAGAGCTTTAACGAGCTGAGCAAATTGCTAACAGACCACCATGCGCCTGTACCATCAAAGTTCCTGTCTAGAGCTAGATTTGACGGTAGGACATGTCAACCAAACGAGTCAATATCAGAATATGTTGCTGCTTTACGTCATCTAAGTAGATTCTGTGAATTCGGAGACACGCTGTCTGACAGACTATGTGAAAAGTTTGTGACAGGTGTAAACAGTCCTGATGTTCAAAGAAAGTTGCTGCTCGAGTCAG